CCATGGACCCAGTATCCTGGAAGCAGACTTCTGCCTGGTGTCTTTGTCCAGATTCCTGCTGGAGAGAACAGAGGGAGATAGTTTGCTTTCAGGTGGGAGTCCTTATCAGATGTTTCTTGAGGTAACCGATTAGAAACAGAGTGGTTCACTGAGGATATATAACGTGATGGGGATAGTAGTTCACTTAAATATTTTGCTGAACAGTTTGACAGTATTAATCATTCTTAAAGTGAAATACTCCTAGAATGTGCCAACCTCAAGTTTCTAAGGCCTGGTTTGAATATTCTGTGGAGATGGAAACAGAAAGGGGATCAATGTGTGGTGGCCATTAGCAGGCCACCTTTTTTTTTGTCATACCTGAAATTTCATACCATAATATCTGGTTTTCCTCTAAATCTACTAATTGGATTAGATGTATCACCTAATCTTGACTGGCCCTTGTGAATAGCTTGGGAGGAAACTTCTTCTAAGTCCTGTTTGTGCCAGCCTCATGAAAGCAGCCTCCCAATGCCTGGTCCCAATGCCGCAACCCAGGAAGTCTTCTGGCTAGGCCAGGTGGAGAAAGTTAGCTCTCAGATGGGAGTCCTTATCAGGTTCTTCTTGAGGTGAGTAGGGAGAAACAGTGTCACCCACTATGAAATAGAACCCCTCTTCCTCCTCTCCCACCTCTCCTCACTGCCTTCTCTTCCCCTCTCACTTCCTTTTCTCTCCTCCTCTTCCCTCCTCTTGTCCCAAGTCTGTAACCCGTACCCTCCTTGCTCTGTTCCCTTTTTATCTTCCCTCCCTCTTTCTCTTCCCCTCCCTTTCCCTATACCATTCATGGTACCTCCAGCTTGGCAGCCATCTCCAACTCTGACCTGCTCCCCAACCCCCACACACCAGCTCAGGTAGAGAACAAGCTCAAGTGTTTTACTTTGGGTTTCTATTGCTGCAATAAAATATCACCACAAAACTGGGGAGGAAAGGGTTTATTCAGCTTGTATTTCCATATCATTGTTCACCACTGAAGAAGTCAGGACAGGAACTCAGGGTAGGATCCTGAAGGAAGGTTCTGGTGCAGAGACCATGGAGGGTATGGCTTACTGGTTTGCTTTCCCCTGCTTGCTCAGCCTGCTTTCTTATAGATTCCAGGGTCATCAGCCCAAGAAGGCTGGTACCACTCACCATGGGCTGAAGCTCCCCCATTTGATCACTAATTGAGAAAATGCCCTACCGCTGGATCCCATTGATGCATTTCTTTAGGGTTCCATCTAGCTTGTGTCAAATTGACACATGTAACCAGCCACTACAACGACACACTTGTCAACTTGACACACAAACATGCCATTATTAAGCCACAAGACATTCTTATTAATCCCCCAGGTCTCACACTTAAAAACAAACTTTAAATGTTCCACAGTCTTACAAATTCAAACACAATAAATTTCAGTCCAATTAAAATAGCCAATTTCTTTTAAAAATCTAAAATCTCCCAACCATGGGCTCCATGGGCTCCAGCAAAAGTACTTTCTTATTTCAGGAGTGAAAAATCTGGGCACAACCACAATCAAATCAAATCAAAGCAAAATAAATTCCAACTTTCCAATGTCTGTCATCTACTCACTATCTTCTAGATTCCTTCAAAGAGGTGGGTCGTTTCTTAGGCTCTGCCCTCTGCAGAAAGCACAGCTTGTATTTTAGGCTCTGGCTTCACTCCATTCCTGTGCTGCTGCTGTTCTTGGTGGTCGTCCCATGTTATAGTGGCATCTCCAAAGTGCTGGGATCCTCTGCTGTAACTGTTCAAACTTTTACCAATAGCCTCTCATAGGCTCTCTTTATGGTGCCCAGCCTTAATGCCTTTGCATGACCCCATTAAGTCTGGGCCTTCAACTACCAGTGAGGTTGCACCATCAGCAATGGCCTCTCCTGCCTTCTCACAGTACCAACTCTCATCTGCCATGACCAAAAAAGAATGTTGGGGAGGAAGAGGTTTACTCAACTTACACTTCTATATTGCTATTCACCACTGAAGGAAGTCAGGACAGGAACTCAAACAGGGCAGGAACCTGGAGGCAGGAGCTGATGTAGAGGCCATGGAGGGATGCTATTTACTGACTCGCTCTCCTGGCTTGTTCAACCTGCTTTCTTACAGAACCCAGGACCACCATGCTCTGGCCTCTCTCCCATAGTTCACTAATTGAGACAATACCTTACAGGTGGAGCTCATAGAGGAATTTCCTCAGCTGAGGCTCCTTCTTCTCTGATGACTCCAACTTGTGTCAACTTGCATCAAGCAGACACACAAAAGCTGGTACAGTCAGTATGGGCCACAAGAGATCTTGCTTCAGAAACAAACACAAAAGTAGCATGTTCTTAATGTTTTCTACATAAATATTCATCTTTTTAATTTGGAGTGGGAGGCAGGAGGATTTGTGAAGGAAATCGGGACAGTTTACACCACAAAGTAAATTCCAGAGAACCTAGGATTTAGACCCATTTCATGATAAACACTAATCATCTTAGACTTTTAGACTAAATATTCATGATTACAGTAACAATTTTGTGAAATTTACATTATAACCAGACCTCCTCCTTCCTCTTTGTTTATTATTATTTGGATTTTTGAAACAGGATATTTATATGTGTAGTTTTAACTGTCTTGGAACTCGCTCTGTAGACCAGGTTGCCCTCTAACTCACTGCCCTGCCTCCCCAAAGCTGAAATTAAAATCACATGCCCCTCCTACCTGGGTAATTTTCAGCCTTTCTTAGGGAGTAAAACAAAACAAAACAAATCAAGAAACCACACTGAGGAAAGTGCCAAGAGGTGTCAGGGATGGATCCCTCACTAGTTGGGTGGGATGAGAGCCCATCTGCACCAGTATGCTGGCTTGTATTCAGGTTTCAGAGGTCACTTTAAGTTATGAGTTGGCACCTTAAACTCTTCACTGAGGCTCCAAGACACCTTCCCCTGCCTGAGATCTCCTTACCTGAGATGGCCAGGAGTTTCTGAGGCTGTTTAGTCACAGCCTACATGCCCACCCTCAAGGTCCTGCATACTGAGGTCCACTACAAGTCAAGATTTAGCTGCTTAGTTGACCGGGGGAGGGTGTCTCTGTGAAATACTGCAGTTAGGAAGAGGAGTCAAAGAAAATGTTGACTTGGAGGAATCTAATCAAATACACGCTTTCCACTGCAGTTCAAGGACAGGCCAGTGATTGTCCTAGCCTAGCCTAAATGGCCATGGGGAAAATATTAGTCCTGCTTGTTTTACTTCACAAACATTGTGTATCTTATCATTGATCATACCTCTCTTTTGCTTAAGAAAATTGAAATCCCAAACCCAGGGAGTAAGGCAAAAAAAAAAAAAAAAAAAAAAAAAAAAAAAAAAAAGGCAGGATTGCCCTAGGCCTGAGCCTGGTAATCACTAAACAACTCACAGCTGTGTGGCAGCACCCCTATTAATCTACTGGCTACACCCCGCCTGGTGAATAACCCTCTGGGTTTGACATCCCTGTGAGTCTGTATATAATTCAAACAAATCCACCACACCCTCCACAGAGACCCAGGTACACCTCACACTCTTGTTCCTAAAAAAGCATGAACCTCATAGCTTTGCCGGTTCACTTTAGTCTGCTGAGTTAGCTGTGTGCTTCTGCCCTGGGCTGTGAAGACATTTGACTGCTTGATCTAACCTGTCTGGCATGGGGATCTGGGGTTCCACCATCTCACACTGTATAAGATGGAACTCTTTCTCAATAGTGGGATCACTTGAGAGTGATCAGGATAGAGGGCTGTTTGAGCACTAAAGGTTTAGAGAAGCCTGCTTAGAACATGCTGTGTGTGCAGATCCAGCAATGCGGGCCAGCAGCCTTGCCTGTACCCACAAAGCATGGCTTTACTTCTGGGCAATGCAATAGGTCTAAACTTGCAAATCTGAGTGATGGAACAAAGGGTATAGATGGGGGGGTGTCAAAGGGAGAAGATACATTTGACAGACACTCTTCCTTTTTCTTCCACTTCCACGAATAAAATGTTGTCTCCCTGTGTGTCAAACATAAGGTCAGTGCTATGAAATTAGGGTTTGTCTTTTTCCAGCTAGAAGGATGTGGGTTCAAGGTGAGTCTTCCTACCTCAAAAATCATACCTAGAGGTGGATTTTTCCCCTTCAAATTAAGGAGAGAGATAGAAAAAAAATCTCTTACAGGTGTGCAGCCGTGTTTGAATTTTAGCTAGCTCCAGATATAGTTAGTTGCCTTGAAAACCAAGGATAGGCATTAAGGCAGATAATAATCTAGGGAACATACAAATGAGCTCCTCAGGGCATATGGCTTTACCATGCTGAAAGCTAGTTCAAAACCAGGATTGTGTCCACACTGTCTTGTTGATGACTTGCCTATAACAGAAGTGACACTATTATAGTGCAGTGTTATGGGTCCTTTCTTAATTAGCTGTGGTATGGATTTGTATCACATGGAACACCAGAATTTGAGGTGGGAAGACACAAGTCTTTAACTTTCATCTCGATTCTGGAAGACTCATACCTTTGATTGGAGTGTGTGGTCTTGTGTGTGTGTGTGTGTGTTTTGTAGTGCTTTGCTTTTTTGAGACAGGATTCCTTTGTGTATGAGCTATGGCTGTCCTGGAACTCACTCTGTAGACCAGGCTGGCCTCAAACTTACAAAGATCCACCTGCCTCTGCCTCCTAAGTGCAGGAATTAAAGGTGTAAGGTGCCACCTCCAAGCTCTGATTGGAGTCTTAAGGGGGAGAGGCACACCTTTAATCTGGGCCACACCATCTGGCAGAAGCCTATTTACAGACATGGGAGGAGGGAGCTTTCAAGCTTTGCCTGCTTGCTCTTCCCTGCTAGCAAGTACATTCCTTCACTGGCCTTAGAGCTTCTTCCTTTGGGTACTAGCATCTAATGACAACCAGCTGAGACACCCAGCCTGATGAAGAGAAGACGCAGGCCTTTATAGAAGGGAAAGGATCCTTCTTCCCACACTCAAGACTCCAGCACCATGTCTGAAAGAGGCCCTGGGGACGTGGAGGCTGCTAGGAAGCTCTCAGTAGGTGAGTCTCACAGTAAGTCACTTATAGCTTACATGTCCTCAACCAAGGCTGTTGGCCCTGAAGTGTATTTGTCTTCTTGTGCTGGCACAGATCCTGCCCTATCATCTCCCGATCAACCAGACCTGCCTCAGGATGAAGATCAGGTGGTACCAGAGCTGGCTGCCAGGGAGATCCAGATGAGCTGGGAGAAGCCCCATGATGTGGGAGCTGGACTCGAGAACGTGGGTAACAGCTGCTACCTGAATGCAGCCCTGCAGTGTCTGACATACACACCACCTCTTGTCAACTACATGCTGTCCCAGGAGCACTCTCGGGACTGCTGTAACCAAGATGACTGCATGATGTGTGCTATGGAATTTCATGTGACCCACAGTCTCCTCTACTCTGGGGATGTCATCCAGCCCTCAGAGAAGTTGACTGAGGCCTTCCACAAGCACAGGCAGGAAGATGCCCATGAGTTTCTGATGTTCACCTTAAATGCCATGCACACATCCTGTCTGCAAGGGAGCAAGCTCTTGGAATGCAGGTCTGCACAGAGCTCCCTGATCCATGAGATATTTGGAGGCTCCTGGAAATCTCAGATCAAGTGCCTCTGCTGCCAGGAGACCACAGACATCTTAGAGCCCTTCCTTGACATCACCCTGGATATCAAAAAAGCTCATACTGTGAAACAAGCCTTGGAAAATTTAGTAAAGGAGGAACAGCTGTGTGGGGAGAATGCCTACTATTGTAACAATTGTTGGGAGAAGACACCAGCTTCCAAGACAGTGACTGTGAAAAGTGCCCCAAAGGTTCTCCTGCTGGTATTGAATCGATTCTCAGAGTTTACAGGTGACAAAAAGGACAGGGAAGTGAGCTATCCTGAGTCCCTTGACTTTCAGCCATACATGTCTCAGTCCAGTAGAAACCCATTGTTTTATACCCTGTATGCTGTGCTGGTCCATGATGGTATGACTTGTTACAGTGGACATTACTTCTGCTATGTCAAAGCTGGTAATGGCCACTGGTATAAGATGGATGACTCTAGTGTCACCAAGTGTGATGTGGATACTGTCCTAAGTGAGCCTGCCTATGTGCTCTTCTATATCCAGCAGACTGATCTCAAAAAGGATTTGTGGATGCACCCAGAGGAAGAATGCCAGGTAGGGAAATCCTGGTGCACAACCATCAAAAGAGAATCCCCCACAAAAGCTGCAGAGCCCCCGGACCACATACAGAATACAGCAACCAAAGATTTCTTAGACCACTGGAAAGTACTTCTGAGCATAAGCCCCAAAGCCTTTGGCGAATGTTGGGAAACATGGACCTCCTCTGACTGCAAATGAAGTTATGATTCCCAAGTCCACACATAGAGTGGACTGGAGGAAGGACCATCCTCATTTTGACAGGGAGAATTACACCATTAGGATTCTGCCAGGCTTCTGTCTTTCTCATCAGAGGACCATGGACACTGTACAGCTCTGTAGTAAGGGAAGGAGACCAAGATCTAAGAAGTAGACAAACTAAGGTGGGAGGTCTCACTCCATTCACTGACTCTGGGAATGTGGATAGTCTGTGACCTTGAGGGTACCCTTAAAGAGAGAGATTTGGACCTGTTCCCAGGTAGGACATAATGTGTCACCCTTACAGTGCTCTCCACCTTTCCTCTGTGTTCTCCACTGTCCTTCCTGGGACCCTCAGAAGGTCAGTGTGGATGTGAAAGAGACTGTACAGGGTTCTGGGATTAGTTAAACCTGAGTAATCTTTTGTATTTAGGGAGGGGAATGTTTGCAGTGCCCTCTGCTGGAGCTCATGGACTCTAAGGGTAGACCCTAGCACCCACAAACTTTGGTTCAGGATTTCCACACAGCCAAGGAGGCACTGGCCAGAGACACTTTTATAGCTATTTCTTTAAATAAACTTTCTCTTGGGTTTACTGTGTACAACACATTGAAGGGGTAGTTTTATTCATTGTGCTTGAACTGCTGTTCTTTTGACCAAATAAAATCTGTTACTTGACACCATCTGTTACTTGACACCATCTGCTCTTTCTTTTTGTCATGAGTGTTGAATATTATTGAAGCTGAATTATTTCCTGGAAACTTTGGCCTCTTGTTGAAACTGACTCACCATTCAGAATTAAGTATTAATTCTGGATTTTTGCTCAGCAATGGAGAAACTTATTCAAACTGCATATTGAGGGCTCTCACATACTGAGCAGCTTCCCTGGCTCTCTCCCACCTTTTTCCTATCCCAGTCTCCATGTTTCTTGCAACCCTGTGCTATGTGTGGCCTCGGTGTTCCAGCAGCCTTCTCCCGATCTGTCTCTTCACTTTCTTCTCTGCATTCTCTAGCTTCCCCAACTCCTTTCTAATGGTGGCTTCAGGACACAATCTGGGTCCCGTTGTTCCCTGTACAGAAAGGTCTGTCACTGTTCCCAATGTGTTCCTCATGTCTCACTAAATCTTTTGCCCCACCTTTTATTTCAAACTTGTTTCCAAATTTCCCCTCTAGAAATCAGCAAACCCTCATCTCAGCCTCTTGTCTCTTCTTTTGTACAGTTTCTGATGGTCTTTCTCTCACATCTTCTTGTTAACTGACTTTAACACCTGCTAGTGGCTCCTCCAGGGTCCCCTCTGTCTGTCTCATTCCCTTCTGGTCATCCACTCCAAGGCCACATTGCCGTCATTGATAGACTTGGATCTCCACAGCTGTACACACTGCCTTCAGGGAATCCTCCGCATGTGACCTATTCTGATGTCTGATCCTTTGCAGCCTTGGTAATTCTGAGAGTCCCAGGCTCTAGTCTTCCGATATTACATTGCTATTATAAACAAGAACACACAGCTGTTGTGGATTCCTGATCAAGTTCAGACCATCTGTTATAGAGTTTGTGACCTTGGGTAAAGAGCATGGGGTTACTGTGTCATAGTTGGTGGGACCCTATCTTCCAAGAACAAATGGCTGGTGGGCCCCAAGATGAATGTCTAGCATAAAATTGAGCTGCTTTAGCCATGACATTCCCCACTATCTCTAGATCATAACAATCAAATGAATGATTCAAAATTTTTGTAGGGATAAATGTTGATAACTTTTACTAAGCCATTCAGTCAGATCCCAGCCCTATTTGAGTAACCCTTTGCAACTCTCTGATTTTAATTTTAAGCTTTTGAAATACTAAAGTGGCTCAGAGGCCAGCATGAGCTCTGGTATGTCAATAGGCATCATAGATAAGCACTTATTTCTTTTGACTGTGATAGGGAAATGGCTTCTTTGGTAAATGAGAACTGGTTTTCCTTGAAACTAACCTTCCAACCGCTTGTTAATGATAAGAGGATGATGCTGTCTCCCCTGTAACTGCTTTTCAGTTGAAATGGGCCCATTATTCTGATAGTTGTGGTAGGGAAGGGGTCCCAAGACTAGGTGGGAGAGATCACAATCTCAGAGATAGGCAGGTGGGGAAACTTAAGCTGTACTTAACCGCAGTCCATTTGACCCATGAGAGGTGGATCCAATTCTTATGACTCCCTCAATTCCCTGTAGCTTACATGAGTTTAAAATATGAGATCAAATTTTAGATATATTAGCATTTCCACTGTTTGTGATCTGTATTAAAATCCACACTGTTGAAAAGCAGCTAACAGGTATCTGTAAGACACCAGAAGTAGACTTGTGCCTTAGAGTCATAGAAAAAGCTATGGATTTGGGTTAAAAATCATGAACGTTGTTTTTCTTTGCCCAGAGAGCTGGATATATATGGATTGGGCAAAGATGTTTTAGCCCAGTGAGAAGCACCTTTAAGTCTGTATTTGGAAGACAACCAAAGGAAATTTAAAATCTTCAGCTGATGACTGAATATTAAGTAATCAACGCTTTCCCAGCTTATCAGAACTGCACTGATTAACACTAAAAGTCTCAACTTTGGAAATCTTAGTATGACAACAGCATAGAAGGGGGAAAGGAAATTTGAAACACTTTTGAATTTTTATATCCCCTGCATCATTTTCTTACACCTTTACAATTTGTATATTTGTATTTATATACTTTAAATCATTTTAGACCCTCAGAACTAACTTAAGCTTTCATGTTCTCAGAATTTTATACATTTTAGAATATATTCTTAGACACTCACAACTTGCAAAGACTCTAAATGATTTTTCTTTTATCTAATAATTTAAGAGTCATGAGTAGCTATTGCTGAGACAGTCTTTGAAAGCCATGTTAATTGAAATAAATTAACAATAAAAGGTTACAACTGAAACCTGTTTATTCTTTAATTTGAAGCCTATTAGCAAAGCAAATGGTCTGCCTTTCACAGCAGGATACATAGTAGCTTCAGAAAAAGGAAGGCCTGGAGTTTTTTTTTTTTTTTTACACATGAAATGAATTAATAATATGGCTACAGTTTTGGAGGGAGGAGCTTAAGTTGACAATGTTGGTTAGTCTAGCCATCAACGCCATCAGAGAAGGATAAATTATAACTGAAAGTATAACCCAAATGGCCTATGTATCAGTTAAAATGGCAGAGACTGGTCCATTACCTAGATTGTCACCCCTCCTAGTTCCTGTGGTCTTGATGGCTTTGTTGGGGGCTGAAGTCACATCTTAGTATCAGTTTTCAGTTGGCAGGCCCAGAAGATTTGAGCAGCTTTTCTGTGGAGGAGGAACTTTGGGCAATCAACTTTCCAGTGCCCTGCTTGTCTGCAGTTTGGGCTGGGTTCTGGTGGCAGGTGAAGAATTTGGGGGGTATTTGCTTAGTGTCACCACAATTCAGGTGGAGTTGATGTGTCACCTCATTTTCTTTGGAGACCTTGGGGTCAACTCTAGGAGCTGAGTCGAAAAAAAAGTCATAGTAACTTTTTTTTCATTAAGTATTTAAAATGCTATATTCAGCAGGTCTCTGCCAAGTTTGAGCACCATTATCTATTAAGTATATCTGAGATAAACAAATTGTGCTTGTTTTTAGTTACTTGCTTTAGACTTAACCTTGAAAACATGTCCCTGAAATAAATCTTGTCCCTGAAAATAAATTTCATTTGTACTTAGAATGATTATAAGCATAGTTCTGAGAACATTCAAGCATTTAATCATGCATGAGATGACTGAACATTAGCTTACATATCCTAATTGTCCTTAATAATTTATGAGAAGCTAGCAGCTTTAATAAGATTAGGATTTTACAGTCTAAAAAGGAGATAAAAAGACTTGATTTCGGGTTACACACAAGTGTGCAACAGCAAATTAAGATTACTTATACATAGCTTTTTAATTATTAACCATTTGTTAACAAGTTTTATGCTAACTTTTTGTACAACCACCAGGCCAAGCTCAGGGAATCCAGTTGAAGAGAGGGAGGAGGGAATATATGAGCAAGGGAGGTCAAGATCATGATGGCAAAATCTACAGAGACAGCTGAACCAAGGTCCTGGAAATTCATGAGCTCTAGACCCACAGCTGTGGAGACTCCAGGGGACCAAACTAGGCCCTCCATATGTGGGAGACAGTTGTGAAGCTTGGGCTAGCTGAGGGGCCCCCTGGGAGCAGGACCATGATACAAACCTGGTAAATGAGCTAGCTTGTTGGGGAAGAACTTTTAAAGGGAAAAACCACAAGAAGACTTTTGGTTCTGCCAAGTTAAGTGGTTAAGACAACTCAAAATAGTCTTTGGGTATCTGCATAAGCAACTTACAGATGCAACAACAAAAGCAGGCAGTGATATCATAACAAGTAGATAGCCATGGCTATACATTTTTTGGATGGGGGCTGCTGAGTCAGGGTTACTGGGAACTTATCTTCCAGGGACCGGAGTCAGAGACAAATGACTGACAGGTACCAAGATGGATGCCTAACATAAAATGGAGCATCTGTATCCATAACACCTCCAACTTTCAACCTTGGATAGAGAAGATGTCCATGAGGCCTCATTATTTCCAGAGGGGCTAATGACTATTGATGGCTGTTAGAGGGGGTGATGTTATTTCTTTTAATGGCATAAGTACTGGGGGGGTTGGGTGGGTAGAAGAATAGGTTCTGAGGGAAAGGAAGGAGGGTGCTAAGACTGGGGAAAACCAGATAATTATTAATAATAATGATAATACATTGTATGTAAGTATGAAACTGTAATATAAATTTAAAAAAGAAATAGCATTGTGTGAAGATGCACACACTCCTGTCTTCAGAGCTTCATCAAGCTTGTATTAGAGACAGGAGGTTGGACAGGCTGGGCTATCATACTGCAGATGAGAGGGGTTGCCATTCTGAAAAGATCAAAGAGGAGCACAGCTTAGTTAACAAAACACATCTGTTCGCATTTTATATGATTAAACTCTCAGCTACATTAAATTCCAGGGAAGAATTAGACTGGGAGATTTGAGATTATTCCTATTCAACTTTCATAGCTGTTTAAAAAATTCTTAAATGTAGAATTATGTGTTGTCTTCCCAATGATAATTCATCATGATTTATACACAAACAGAATCACATATATCCTTTTGTGTGGTGTGTGGGCAAGTGTGTGTGTGTGTGTGTGTGTGTGTGTGTGTGTGTGTGTGTGTATACATGCAAGCACACACAGAACATGTGTGATAACCATGTGGTGTCCAGAAGAGATCTCAACTGTCAAACTGTCATTCCTGAGGTCTTACCCTCTCTTTTTGAGACAGGGTCTCTCAGTAGTTTGTTGCTGGCCACATTTGCTAGATCTTTAGTTATTAACCTATGACCTATCACTGAACCCCACCTTTCCAGACGTGGGATTACAAGCATGGGCTTGTAAATACTGGGCTTTTAAATGTGTATTCTTGGGACTGAACTCATATTTGCAGGGAGTTAGTCACCATACTGATGGAACTGTCTCCTGAGCCCCCATAATACTCTAAATATAACCTTCTGACAGAGACAAGTTTGTTTCAAAAATTTATTTTAGCTTTCTAATTATTCTCTATTGGAGTTATGTGTGTATTAAAATGTTTTAAGATACTAGTTATCATTTTAAGAGATTAACTTAATTAAGGGAGCATCACTGTTCACATTTGGCTCAATTGGACTTTGACTTCCGCAGATTCCAGTTCTCTGTCATTTCCCCATGAGGGTTACTTGCCCATTAGGAAATGTCTGTCCACACAGTAAGGGACAAAAAAACGCAGGATAGTTAACAATACCTTCATAGAAAGAGTTTATTGAGAAAAAGTGTGTGTGTGTGTGTGTGTGTGTGTATGTGCCTGTGTATGTGTGTGCGTGCGTGAGTGTGCGTGCGTGCGTGCGTGCGTGCGTGTGTGTGTGTGTGTGTGTGTGTGTGTGTGTATGGGGTGGGGGGGAGGGCACTGCTGTACCAAAAAAGCAGGAAGCAAAGGAGTGTTTACTGCATGATCTTTCCACTAGAGGGCACCATTGCCTATCTTCTGATCTTTGCTGCTTCTCCCTAAGAATCTAGCAACATTGTGTTAGTCAGAGTCCACATTTTATGTTTGCTTTTCTCCCAGTAATTTGCCTTTTCCAACTTTCCAGTGCTGTAGTTGGACTTGAATGCCAAATCTCACCTCTACAGAGAAAGATTGTTTCATTGGCCCCCATATCTATATCTGATGGTCCTTAATACATTTTAATAAGTGCCATAGAATGGTTTTCTTTGACAAAGATAAAAGCTTTTAAACGGATTTCAACACTCTGAGAAACCCTGGATTGCAGTCTGAAAGAAACCAAGAGAATTATGTATCATAAAATGGAAGTTTTTTTTCTCAGGATGGTGGTGGGATGGGGTAGGTGTGGGGAGCAGGAGGAGGGGAGGGAGTGCGAACTGGGATTCTATGTAAAATGAGGAAAGATTGTTTAAAAAAGAATAAAAAAAGAATGGAAGTATTGATAGAAAGACAGAATACAAATTATTAGATGTAATGAAATAAAATTTGGGAGCTAAAAATTTGAACATTTGAAATGTAAACTATCCTAGATAATTTTAATATCAAAATGGGACTATCAAAATGTGAAGAAAAAATTCAAATGACATTATTAGGTTGAGTGTTGTAAACCACACTTGCTCCTTGAAATTGGGCCTATGCTCTCGTTAACTCAGTGTCTGATCCACCAAATTTAAAGTGTTACAAAGCCATTGTTTTAAATCTAGGCCAAACAAACTTGATTTTATGCCAGGGTATATAAATCTCTGGGAGATGTGAGCTAAGAAAGGAGCATGGTAATGACTATATAATTTCCCAGTGACTGACGATCTCTGGCCCTGGTAGACATCAGGATCTAGCACTTCCCCTCTGGGGATCAATCAAGGTGGACGCTGTAACAGATAGTTAACCACAGACAAGTTTCTTATTGTTTTGGGGCCAGGATTACATTTCAATCAAATACAGATTAGCAATAAAATAGTGTTGCTGAAAGTAGATCCCATTACTAAAATTCTATGAGCTGATACTGCTTAAAAATAATTAAGAAACATTTTAATCTAAATAGGCAACAAGGAAGAATGTTTTATACAGGACTTAAGCTAGCTCATGAATACTATAGATCTTTATTTGTAAGCACTGGTTACCTGTAATCACAGCTCATGAGAAGTCATCAGAGACAACCTGCACAGATTAACCTGTGTGGGATGCAGGGAAAAGGAGCAAGGTAGCAAGATGTCTTTTGGGCACTGACACCTAATTGACTCTGTGATACTGAGTTTTACCGGGGCAATAGGAAGTCATTCTCTGCAAAATGAAAACATTGAGAAGAATTATCTATGGGATTTCTTCTCATATTGATAGTGAATAATTTGAGTGTCTGTAGATAGCATGCCCCCTCCCCATTTCCTAAAATCCTATAAATTACATGGTCTTTTCTGGCATAGTTTTGAGAAGGAAAAAAACAACCCACCAAGACAAGCATCAACATCAGGATAATTCTTGAAAACATGCTTTCTTTCTTATTTTAGGATTTGATTATTTACTGGTATTTAACTGTGCATTGTGTGCCTTTGTGAGATGTCATGTGTCACGTACACATGGGTGCCCAAGGAAGCCTGAAGAAGGCATCAGATTCCTTGGAGTGACAGGCAGTTGTGAGGTGCCCAGTGTGGGTGCTGGGAACTGAAACCGAGTCCTCTGCAAGAATAGTGAGCATGCATAGTTGCCGAGTCATCTCTCCAGCTCTCCTATCTCTTATTTCAAAACATTAAAAAAAATAATAATACCACCTTGTTTTAGAAAACAATTTTACTTTTAACAGGGCAGGCTAGAGAGTCCTGAAGCCTGAGCCTCTGGAGTATCTTGACTTCCCCGGGAGGGGTAGGGTGGGGAGGGAGATTTTCATGCTAAAAGTGGCCTATGAAACACACTGGCCTCCCAATTTTGCCAAATTAGGGCAAAGGACAAGCCAGCATGTTTCATTTTTTCTGTGGGAGATGGAACACAGGCTCACAAGGGGCATCTGGGAAAGTGTTCACTTGTCTGCTTTTTCAGCAGACTGTCTTAACCTCTCCTTCCAGTCACCTGACCACTTTTTCTCCTAAGAAAAGTCCCATCTTTATGAATGGCCGTCACTGTTCCATCCTCACACAGAATGAAACACAAAAGCCAGAAGTCTGTATCACGAGTGTAGTAAGTCAGAATCTGAATGGGGGCACTGAGTTCATGACTTCCGATGACTGACAGGGCTGTCTGCACGAGCCATGGTATAAGTTCTCTGTAAGTGACCGGTGTGAAACGTAGTCACTCTATGGCCAACCTGAATTTTGATATGAGCTCTGTTCTATATGGAACTCCATGTTCTAGGCCATGCAGTGTACAGGGCAGCCTACAAGTTCTTGGGATGTGCTGCGGGGTAGCCTGTTTACTGCGAGGGCCAAGTTCCTTCTAATTACAGCTATCAGGAACTGGGCAGAAGACCCATTGTCAAAGGTCTGCTTAAAGCTAGGGAGAGAAGGAGAGAAGTCAGCTGGTCTTCCATCTTACCTGCTTTTATGTGTTTTCCTACTTTTATCAGCCAATAAAACAGTCCATAGACTCTTTGCCAGAAAGTATAGAGTTTACCGCATTATGTCCGGTAAACTGGGGAGGATGCCAAAGTCTGGAGAGCTTTGTTTGGAGATGCTGCCTCATAGCTGGTGCTAAGAGTTCAGTGTTTCTTCCTTTTTCTGCAGCACAGTGGTGTCAAATCAGCCCGGCAGCTCCCAATCTTTTTTTCGAAGGCAAGGCAGTCAATTGCACAGTGGCCATCCAGCTTTGCACACAGGTAGTTTCTGTAAACTGCGGCTATGGCTAGGGGAAGAGAGAAGCTGTCAGTTATCTCCTAATCATGTACTAAGCCAAAAAGTAAATTCTTAATTACTAAATCTGGGGGGTGGGAGGAGCTCCTGGTAAATCATATGCAATGCCCTTAGTAATCATTTGGGAAAAACACAGGCAATCCCTCTGTTCAAATTAGCTAGCTTATACAGAAAGAAAATGCCAACTCCAATAAACAAACCTTTTCAACAAGGTGTTTCTTCTTTGTTGTTCTAGTAGTGTCTGATATAGATCAAAGTTTACAAGCAGTCCAATTTAGTTTAAAATTTAAAAAAAGTACACAATATTATAGGCAAATCAACAATAAACAGTGCCCATTGTTGTATGATCTTAAAGTTTCAGATATAAAGTCTCATTATTGCCACTTGAAGGAAAGAAAAGTAAGCACAGACTTCAAATAGTTTGTGAGGATCGGCATTAAGATTTGGCCTCAGCTAGCTGGCTCTCATATGTGCCGCCACCTACTGATTGTTGAACTCACTCCTACCTCACTGCCTTGGTGAAGGTGGTTAGCTTTTATTCACACACACACACACACACACACACACACACACACACACACACACACACACACACCATTTTTACTGGAATTCCAATATGAACAGGCTGAGATCTGGAGCTACTGAGCTTCTAAGTCTATGTGTTGACCTGGCTACAGTGAATTCCTTAGGTAGGAAGAGATAGAGAGGAATCTTCCTCTATTCTGCATCAATTATCTGACCTCTATGCAAAGAGGGAGGACAAGCTAACTAGGGACCTGGTTTGTGAGGGAGAGTGCAGCACAGGCTCTGTTCCCTGGTTGCTCCTTCTTTCTAACACTACCTCTTTTCCCTAAGGTTCATCTATGCTTCCCCAGAGGCCTTTCTGCGCCTCCTAGTTAGACCATGGTTTGCCCTGCCACAGCCTTCTCTGTACTTGGCATTCTGGCTTTCAGGGAAAATGTTTATGTTAAAGTTCCATGCATATATTCCTCTTTCCACTCATTTAGTTATTTATAAACCATAAGTTTTTGAATGATTTTAGTCTCTAGGGAATTGATTTTTTTATTAGCAGAAATAATAGACCAATACATTTTCAGAAAATTAACGACTTAAATAAGTAAAATTTTCTGTTCATTTTGTATAACTGAATGAATGCATCTGGGGGCAATGTTTTCCAAGTGGTGAGGACACACTGTCAGGGTCTCTTGTCTTGCTGGGGCTTCTGAGGCTGACAGGCATACCCAAGAGGATTCGACTCTTGGGATCTATGAAGGAAGGATGGGAAACCTGAGGAATAGGAAGCATGTTTCAAGGATATTTGAGGGGACTAGCCAGAAGATCCATTTGGTTGTGGGTTATACTGCACAAACAGTTCTGTTTAAACACCAGGAGTCTCAAGTGCAAGCAAATCAGGATGGTAAGGGTTTCAATGAGGTCATTTTCTATTATATATGAGAGCCCCAAAAAAGTTTAGAACAATCTCAGGGTAAGATATTTGAGCCAACTACCGAGATGGAAAATGCCAATGTTTTCTCCTATTTTAAAGCAGCCACTTTGTCATATACTGAGACATGTTGGAGATTTGAAAACCAAAGAAGAGGGTCTAAAATAACGAAGACGTCCACATCCCTGTGTAGATTGACTAGAGAAGTGGACCAGGTGTTCTAGCTAGTGATGTTCTAAGACAGTGTAATTGTATTCTTCTGTTTCTCAACTTGGGGCCTGATTTAGTGCGAGACTGTTAGAGATCACAGAGATGATCAGTGAAGTTTCCCTGAAGTTAGTTTGCTTTTCCAAAGACAGATCCTGATTAAATTGCCAGCACTACCTCTCCAGGGATTTTTTCTCTTACCTGGGTAAAACTGAACAAGAAGAATGAGCCCAGCAACAATTAAGGAAAAGATTCTCATGTCTCTAGGCATCAGTGGAGAGAGGATGGAGGACAGTAATGGAGTCTGGCTCCTTTATTGAGAGAGTAAGACCCATTCCACTGCTCAGACACAGAGAGAACTATTTTCCATGCTCCACTGAGTAACTTGTGGGCCAGTGGACCAGATTTTTATCTAAGTCTTTTATTGGAGACAAGATGGAGAAAGAACCCTGCCTTGTGACCTGGAATATTCCATTCCCTTTTTTCTTAGGCTTCCCATATTTCCCTTCATGCTCCACCCCAAGTGTCCCCATTTCCGCATAACTTAAAACCATCCACTCTTTTCTTCCTACCTTAAACTTTTATATTTAATATACTCTTTTACATGTTTTATCCACCAGTTGTTAATGAATTGATTGACACCTGGTATAGTGACTTTTAAAATTTGAGGTATAGAATAATTTAACTACCCCAATAGATATTAGACTTCATAGAAGAAACTAGCTCAAATTTGATTGCTTTTCTCCATTAGGTTCTTATATCAGGGTTGTTTAATTTCCTAGTGGGAAGCTATCTACTTAGGGAAGTCATGAATAAAGAATTAGAAGGAAATTGTTTCAGTCTTTCAAGCTTATGCATATATAAGGCTTGGAAGATGGTATAATCTTCAAATTTCTTCCATAATCATTTGTGGTGGAGAAAGCATGTGTATTTATACTACAGAGCTATGTGCTACCAACCTTAATTTTGTCCTGCAAGCAAAGGAGCCGTAGAGGTTTGTGCAGAATAATTATCTGAAAGAGTGAAAATCAACATCCTTGACAGAATGGGTGCTTCACAGAGCAATTCTCACACTAATAATAAATTAATTTATGGGAAATGCTGAGCTGCCGAAAGGATTCAAAAGATGCAATGAAGTCAGGTATACTTAGGGGGAAGGAAATGTCTAGATAAGTACAGAGTCACCTGTGATTCTTAATGCATAAGTCTTGGCCCTCAGTGTGAGATATGATGGAACTTTTAAAAAATAGGGCTTAAAATCCTGCTGTGGTGCTTCAGGAATTGGAGGCAGAGAGTTTCAGGCCAGGTTGGGCTACAAACTGAGTCCCAGCCCAACTGGATCTCATACTAAGATTCTGTCCCAGCAAAACAAAAGTAAAACCCATAGCCAGAATTTATTATGAAATAATAAAAATACCCCCCTCCCCTGCTCTCTGGCTCCTTGTTTTCATGTGGCACAGCATGTCTTCTGCTCTCAGCCATGTTCCTCTTCCAGGATGCCATCACCATGATTCGACACAGCCTGGGAGACCCTGTCTACAGCTGAGCACATGAGGTCGCCTGAACTTGGACTTCAGCCTGTGAATGAAATGAACATTTGCTGATAGAGTACCTGGACCAGTTGTTGTGTGACAGCAAAAGAGAGAGACTAACCCATGCTCTCTTCTCACCGTTCAGCCTACCTACTCTCCGGTGGTGACCCTGTTCCAGGCTTTACGAGGGGAAAAGCCAGAAAAGGAGATGCTTACAGCTCCAATCACCCACTTCAGGCCCAGAGGCTTGCCCTCTTTCATGTACCTTCTCTAAGATCCAGGGTTTCCTCTTGAACTCAGCTGTCACTTCCTTTCCATTTCCTGAGTAAGACTGGTGTCATTAAAGTGACACTAAGTACTATGCATTGGCAAAGCAGGGGAGGTGTCTTGAGGGTGAGATTTCTTCCCACTGAGGGTCCCCAGGTGGAAAAGCACTTGGAAGAGCCCTTTCTGTGAAGAGGTTGTTTAGGGAAACTTCCTCCAGGTCCAGTTGTGCAAGCTCTTACAGCTTGTTGCAGCCACAGTCCAAGGGCTAGTGACTTCTGGAGTTGGCAGCAGAACTTATATCATCTATGTTTTGTTGCTTTGGCAAATGCAAGACTAATGAAGCTGTGGAGATTTTTGCCAAGGTGCTAGAGAAAAGCCTGGGAGGCACAGGATTGAATTCCCTGCAGAGATTTGTGGCTTTGTGCAAAGCTCTGGAAGTGAAGCTGAGACCCCAGAAATTCAAAGAATGCTGGAACTCCGACAAGAAAAGCTGCACTCACCAAGTGGGTCAGTCTAAAAGAAGCCACGTGTGCTGCAGGAGATGAACAGGGCTACCCAGACCCTCTGGAGTTGACATCATGTCACTTCATACCCCAGATGACGGGCACAGGGCTTTAGTGTTTGCAAGGCTGGATTTTGGTATATCTTCCTTGCTATTGGTATTATGGTAGAAGCTTCACCCCAGCCTCTGGCATCCATATACCCAGAGTCTGGGATGTTATGGTGGAAGTTCTACCCTCCCCTATCTCCTTCCAAACCCTGTTGCATGTCAGAAAACCCAACAAATGATGAACCACTCCCCCAGAGATACTCAAGACCATTCCCACTAAACTGCCTGCTCCACCCAGAAAATAGACTTGTGGTTTTCTGGTCTCTCCTGTTTGCTCTCTGGGAGGCTGGAAGGCCATCTGGGATAGTTGTATCCATTACATGTGGGCTTTTCTAATTCAGTTTGATTTGGTCTAATTTAGATTGCTGCACCAGTGGAGAGGCTTATCAGGATGCAGGGACTTTTCAATCAGCACGATCCCTTTTGGAATAGAAATGTTTTCTCTGTGGTGTTGTATATTGGGAGCATGTCTCTTGATCTTTTTGATGTTTGTAGATGTTCAAGCTGAGAGTTTTCATTGAATCTCAGGAAAGACTGGACATTAGAGTCCTGGGGAGTGTCAATGTTCCCTTCATATATTGTAGGGTTCTGCTGTTAGGGGCATATATTTTTAATATTGTATATCACCTTTGTCTGTAGTAACAAGTTTGTTATTTATTTTGTTTTTCTTTTCTTTCTTTTTCTTTTTTTTGTTAAAGTCTGTTTTATATGCCATTTTCTTAGCATTTGTTTCCAATATGTTTCTTTGAATGTGGGTTTTTAAAAATGCAATTTAGGCTTTAATATTTTAAAAACCCATCCTTTTAATCTCTAACTGGGATGGTTAATTTATTTTCTCTTAATGTAATAATCAGTGAAGTAGTATAATATCATTTTTACCATTTGTCTACTGAAGGTTGTGGTGGTGTTCCTTTCTCCTCCTCCATTTTATTTGCTATACATTTTAGTTGTTATAAGTGGTTGCCTTTTGGATTATTATTAATGTAGTTCATACACAATTCCTTTGGTGTTAACATCAATTTATTTTCAATAGTAAACAGCCTAATTTCCTCACCCTCATGTTTTTAATTTTGTTTTTGTAAAAATAAGTCGAGGAGTTGTGAAGTGAGAACCCCTCTTGCTAGTCTTGAAGGATGAGACTAACTAGAACAGAGATAGCTGTGAGCAGGGCACACTAAGGGGTCTCCAGTTACTAGAATGGCTGAGGTTGATCCTTGACTGTGCCTTTGGAAGACCTTTGCCTTTGAGTCAATGCTTTTAGCTGTCAGTTTCATGAACCCCTGAGCAGAGGAACCAGCTATACCAGACCCAGATGTCTAACCGGAGACAGGTTGAGATAGCATGCACCATTTTAAGCTGCTAACATCACACTGTGATATTACACTACAAAATAAATAGCAATAGTATTTTGAGGCATGCATAATTTTTAGAGGAACATTTGCATGTTATCACAAGGCTGATGGACTCTCCAAAGCAGTGAGCAGTTTCCCAAATGGTTGAAAGTCTTTCTGATTGTCCTTTTATGAATTCATCAAACTCCTACCCGACTCCCAGATATTTTATGCTAAAACCCTTTTATTGTAAGTTCTTTCCATCACAGGCCACATCCTTAGCTATTTCCCCTTAGGAAAATAGTCAATGAACTCATGTGTGATATTTTTATGAGCCATAGGAAACACAAGTCTTGCTGTATGTCCTAGGTGCTGGCTTGTAGGAGCTGTATCTTCTGTGGGAGTGCCTGGTGACAGTTGACAGAAAAATGGTAGCTTTAACATGGGAAATGAAGCCTTTGGCAATATCCCTGTTTCTATTCCCATCTGCCATTTTCCCAGCAGGTGGTATTGAATGAAGCCAGCCCAATGTGGATGGAGTTTGTAGAGACTAGTGCTGATATTTCAGAGCCAGGGTGGAATGAACAAGAGAAGAATCTAAGTACAAGATACACTGAGCAGAACACTACCCAGGTTCACACAGCCCCAATAAAACCGATCAAGTATAAGCGCCATGGTGGATAGTTCTAAACTTTAGTTTTTGATAGTACAAATTGTATTTTACAAGGCAAAGGTTACAGTTTATCATCTGCATACACCCTGTGTAATTGAGTATTTTACTGAATCTTTAGCCATTTTCTTTTGTAGGCAAAAAGAACAATGCAAATTCAGTACCATAGGCATTAACAGAGTAGATGGGAGTTGTTTTAAAAATACATCATAATTGTTATAACATCGTAATTGTTATATCAGTGCATAATAATACATTTCCTCATCAAGAATATTCTATGGGACCGTAATGCCATCAACACAGAGGAATATGGCACTTTCATTTGCCTGTCAATGTCGTAATAATTAGTATGTTTGAGATGCCCAGGATGAGGTGGTTGTACACACTACCCCTTGTCTCTCAGCTCCAGTTTCCCTTAGGCAGTTTCCCTTCCTGCATCTCAATTTCTTCAAACACAAGTAAGAATGATAAAGTCGATCTCTGAGGTGATCCTGAGCCATATGGGAAAATCCTGGAGTGCAGATTTATAACTTATAAGTATTCTGGAAATGTAAAGTAGTGGCTGATTGAGTAGAAGGCATTCATTGCTGTTTTGACTTTTTATGATCTTAAAATTAAAATGAAACACAGAAACAAAAGTGAGGTGAGAGGGAGACTGATCTGAACTCACTGTGACCCAGTTAAGCCACAGAACTGGCCTTGGACATCCACTCAGTATGGGTCTAAGGCCCAAAGGGCATTCGTCGGTGTGCTCAGATCCTCTCCCGACAGCAGAAGAAGTTCAGCTTGCACTTCCCTGCAATCTTCTCATTATCCAGGCACACCCTCCTGCATTTTCCCCGACCGAGCCTGCAGGTCTCA